TTGAAATAAGGTTTTTGATGGTCCTGTAATAGTCTCCTTCAGAGGCATATATCATAGTAGAGAGTCAGACGTTTTGGTCATTTTTACTTTTTTTTTTTCTTTTAACAGTTAACACATATGTTTGTGTAAATTTTTATATTTTCTTAGGACAAATTCAGAGAAGTAGCATTTCAGGATCAAAAGGTGTGCTGTGTTTAGTGTTGATTCTTACTCCTTTCAGTAAGGCCAGTCCAGTTTGTGCAGATAGTGATGAGACCCCGTTTTTCCACATACTCCTCTGCAGTGGGCATTGTTTGGGCCTTTTTCAGCCTGAGAGCTCTCTTCTCCCCATGCCCCTCTGCTGGTCTGAGATTTTTCCACCCCTCTTCCTTCCTAGTTGCTGTCTGACCAGACTCTAGGTATTTAGGAGAAAGAGCTGTTCATTCTCTCACTCTCCCATTCGACAATCAAGTAGTGCCAAGCATTGGGGGCTGAAGGTGGGTGCGTGAGGGACACTCACCTTGCTGAGCAAGGGGCCCGGCCTGGTCGTGTGATTATAAAGCAGAGGCAGTGCCAGGAAAAGTCTGACGCTGGCTGAGAATCACCTGGGGAATGACCATCCCGAATGCAGATACCTGACACGGGGTGAGAATGGAGCTTGGAGATCTGCATTTTCAATAAGCAGCCTAGCTGATTGGTAAAGAGCCCAGACACAGACTACCTAGGTCCAGGGGTAACCTTGAGCTAATTACTTTTTGAGCCTCTGTTTCCTCATCTGTACCATGGGGAAGAATAGTAGCGCCTTGCTCCAGAGTCATGGTGTGTAGTGCCACGTAAGGGCTCAGCAGGTGGTGGTCCACCCACCAGCCCCCAGTGGCCTGGACCACCTTTGAGAAACAGTGATCCTAAGGGATTCAGCCTTTCCTAAGTTGGTGCCTCCCACCTGTCGCCCTCACCCAACCAGACTAGGAGGGTTGTGATTAGAGGATACCCTTGCTGTGACAGCTTGCTCTTCCCTGATTATTCCTTAAGGGCAGCCCCCTCCTTCCCTGCTTTCGTGCAGTCTTGGTCCTCATTGTGGGCACAGCTTCAGGGGAGGCCTTGGAGGAATTTTTTAAAGTGGAACAAGGGAAGGAGCCCGCTCAGGGAGCATTTGTTTTCTGGTAAGGAGGCTGTACGTGTGAATGACATTTTGTAGTTTTCCCTTGCTTCTCCCTAAAGAGCTGTCAGGTCTTGATGAGACCAGGTCCTGGCACAGGGCAGGCAGTCAGCGAGTGTGGGCGATGACAACAGTGGTGACCAGATGCCTTTCTCCTGCATAGCACAGTGTCACATGGAAAGGGTACGGCCCTTTAAGCCCACCCTCCCCAGCGTGACTATGACAGATGTCAGGGAACCTCTGCTCACAGAACTGCTTTCCAGGGAGTATCTTTTTTTGTTTCATTTTGGTTTTTTGAGACTGAGTCTCACTCTGTCACCCAGGCTGGAATGCAATGGCACCATCTCAGCTCACTGCAGCCTCTACCTCCTGGGTTCAAGTGATTCTCCTGCCTCAGCCTTCCAGGTAGCAGGGATTACAGGCATGCACCACCACACCTGTCTAATTTTTGTGTTTTTATTAGAGATGGCATTTCACCCTATTGGCTAAGCTGGTCTTGAACTCCTGGCCTCAGGTGATCCACTCACCTTGGCCTCCCAAAGTGCTGGGATTACAGGCGTGAGCCACTGTGCTCTATCCCAGGGAGTGTCTTATTAGCGGTTGACAATTGAATGGAGAAGTGGATATTGGAAGGACTTGGTTCTACTTGATCCTGGGTCCCTACCTTCTCCGTCTTCACCCACCCGTCAGCTCCCTTTCTCCTTTAAACAGGCATCTTTGCTCTCTACTTACCCATTTTTGTTGTGCATTGCTATTTGAGAACCTAAGAAACGCGACATCCTCTGAATGCTGCAGTTGTTGTAGGTCTGAAGGGTGAGCCTGCCCTCTGTCCTCAGGGGCTGCAGCCTTTGGCTTTTTAGGCACAAGGACTCTCAGAACTGCTCCTTCAGTCGCAGCAGAGATAAGTCACTGGAGCTTGAGAGTCATGGGAAGAACAGAGGGAGACCGTAGCTTCCCTGTTCATTCACATCCAAAACAAAACTGTCATGCTAGAAAAGATGGTATTAAAAGAGCCGCCTGTTCGTATGGGATGTATTGTCTCGTATCCCATCCAGCTCACTGCTCCAGATGGAGTATTATGATTTAGCTTGAAGAAATGTAGCAGCTCTTTGTTTTGATGCCCCTCTTTGAGTAAGAGTGAACTCCCCATTGCCAGAGTGGCTAGTGAGGGAAACCCTGTGTCCAGGCAGGAGTCTGTTTAGGATTTATCTAGAGAGGCTGAGCCAGAGGAGGACCTTAAAGTTTCTTCTCTTCAATTTCCTTTATTTATTTTTGTACAGATAGGGTTTTGCCATGTTACCTAGGCTGGTCTTGAACTTCTCAGCTCAAGCGATCCATCCGCCTCAGCCTCACACGGCCCTTCTCCGGAATTTTCACTCATTTCTGGTAGTTTCTCTCATTTCTGTATGATGAGGGAACTAAAGCCAAGAACTTTCCAAGGTCTTGCCGCTCTTTGGGGATGTGAAGCTGTGCTCGATTTGTATGGATTTTGCTGGTTCCCAGGACTTCCCTGTGGCCCTGGGGTCTAGTGTGGGAGGATGCTGAGTGAAGAGGGAGGAGGGCCATACCTCTTTTATAAAGGCTGCTTTTGTAATGTTCACTTTAGTTACATCTTCCTCCTGGTCAGAAACCTTCAGGGGCTCTCCTCTGCTGCATTAAACTCTTACTCCTCCGTCAGGCAGCAGACTTCTCCCTGGGTGGTCCATCCTACCAGGTCCCCACACTTCAGTCACGTCCAATAGCTCAATATTGTCAGGATAGGCTGTGTTATGTTCCCAACTCTTATGTTTGCTTAAGTGGTTACCTCTTTCCAGAATGAGCCACCTCCTCCAGTCTCTGCCTGGTGAATATTCCTAACCTTTGCAGCTTCACCTCCCTCTTACTTCTTGTGACCTGAGGCATCTACTCCTAACAACTGATAGACTCTGTTCCCTCCTAACTCGAGGGAGCATTATCCTTGTCACCTCCCTACTGGCTTTTACCTGGCTTTGCTTCCTGCTGTTGTTACTCCTGTACCTGTCTTATCTGTCCTAAACAGAAGGTGCTTCAGGCTGGGGAGCTTGTTCATGTTGAAATCCCTGCGATGGAGGTGAGCAGGATGGAGTTAAAGTCCCTGTGGGAATAATCCAGGCCACAGCCAGGGTTGCTGTCTTCAGAAAGAAGGGCAGCCACAGGTCTTGTTAAGGGAATTGAAACTGGCTGACTTGGTGGAAGGAACCTGCCTGCTTGTTTAAAAACCACATATAACCAGGTGTACTTGTTCACACACTGTAATCTCAGTGCTTTGTGAGGCTGAGGCAGGAGAATCACTTGAGGCCAGGAGTTTGAGACCAGCCTGAGCAACAAACTGAGACCTCTGTTTCTACAAAACATGTAAAAAATTAGCTGAGTGTGGTGGCATGCATCTGCAGCCCTAGCTACTAAAGAGGCTGAGGTGGGATACTTGCTTGAGCTCAGGAGTTTAAGGCTGCAGTGAGCCCTGAGTGCACCATTGCATTCAAGCCTGAGTCACCAGCGAGACCTCGTCTCTAAAAACAAAAATAAAAATCACATAGATTGTGGGTGCAACTTACTTGGAGACGAACTTTCAGCAGAGAGCAGACCTGCTATCTTTGCACAGGGTGTGAAGCTCAGCCCTGAGGGTCTCTGGACAGCAGTAATTCAGCCCCTGTTCCCGTCTTCGTTGTTGGCAGGGACAGTGAGATTTTCCAGGGGTTGTCTGAAGCTCTTCCCAGCCCCGAAACCTGCATGTGTAGATTTTGGACTGCACTGGGTCCTGGATGTGATACTACTGTGTAGAAACTCCACTCGGCGCTGTCTTAGGGGTCAGGTGTCCCTCCTGTGGTCCCTTTGGCCTTGGCCTTCCCCTGGGTCCCTCCCTCAGTGGCACTTTCCACCCCACATGCCCGCTCCCTTGGCTTAGGTCTCCACTTCTAACCTCAGCAGACTTGGTCCTCAGACACCTCCCAGTCAGCTTCCCAGTTGTATCCCATAGACTCTCAAAGGGTGGAATTCATAGTCTTTCCTGTCTTGGTCCCCACCTGGCTGCCGTCCTAGACTCTGTTTTCTCTCCTGCGTCAGGTCCTGCCCCAGACCTCCTGACCCCTCCTGGACTCTGCCCTCATTTGCATCCATCCTGCTGCTATCTTCGGCCCTCCTCACCAGCCACAGTCTTCTCCAGGGGTCACTTTCCTTCCTGGTCAGTGGCCAGATTGACCTTTGTAAACCTGTATCAGATCTTGTTTGTCATGATTGTCCTCATGGTGTTGTGTGTCTCCTTAACGTGGTGTCTGAGATCCTGCTCACCTCCGCCGCCCGGCCCACAGTGTGTGGCCCTCACTGGAATATTCACTGTGCCTTCTGCCCTTCCGTCCTCCTGGGAAAACCTGTCTCTATCAGATATGCTCTTCTCTAGAAAACATTCCTGATCTCTAGATCTGGTTTTGCCTTTATGCTTCTGTACCTACCATCCAACACCTGGATTGTATCATTTGTTACATTAGATGATTTTTGTTTTGTTTTGTTTTGTTTTAAACAAGGGTGTTTCTTACTCACGTTTATATCCCTAGAGCCCAGCACCATCTTTGGTGCATAATAGACACGCCACACATGTTTGCTAATTGAACGAATGATCAGATGTGAGTCACCTCAGGCCGGCCCCAGGCAAGGCCGCTGCCACCTCCATGGTGGCTCTTGGGGCCTCTTGCTTTACGGCAGTCGTTTGATTGACAGGCATGTCTTGGAAGCTTGTTGGGCAGGACCTGTGTCTAAGTCTTCAGGCTGCCTCCAGCCACCCCCGTAGCCCTCTACTGCCTTCATCTCACAGGAAAGTGGAACGAGGTCCTTGTGCTCTTTTTTCCAGGTGCTTCCCGAGGCAGGGCTATGCTAACATTCATGGCTTCTGACAGCGAGGAAGAAGTGTGTGACGAGCGGACGTCCCTGATGTCGGCCGAGAGCCCCACACCGCATTCCTGCCAGGAGGGCAGGCAGGGCCAGGAGGATGGAGAGAACACTGCCCAGTGGGTAGGCATCAGCAGCTGGGGGTCACTGGGGCTCTTGTACCTTTACAGGTGAAAACCAGACATTCATTCCTCGATGCAAGAGGGAGAGGGAAGTAATGATGAGGAGTGGCCAAAAGAGTGGGTGGCTGGCCATGGTCGGCCTTCTGTCTGCAGGGCTTTATAGGACTCTGCACATTCACAGCCAGTGGACTTGGCAGTGGGCTGAAGGACGCCGTCCACTCTGCCCCCTTAGATTTACCTTGCTCATGCAGGTCACTGTTTCCACTGTAATTCCAGAGTTCGTTTGGATGCCTGGGTGCTAGGACAGGTAACAGAAGCTTAGGATGGTAGCAGGGGAAGCCACTGGAGGGGAAGCCGTTTTTGGCAGGTGGCCAGACATGGTAACTGTGAGGAGTCTGCCTGATGCACACTTGACTTTTGAGCTGGGGATATTTAGGCTGCACTGTGATCATCCAGCCCCTAGGGGAGGAGAAAGAGTAGGATGTTAGAAAGAGTAGGATATCCTTGGGAGAGCCACTTAGTCATGCCCTTTCTCTCCCAATCAGGGTAAAACATCCCAATTTGCCTGAATCCTATTCTCTGTTTTGCCCATTATAGAATTTAAAAATGTTGGCTGGGCATGGTGACTCACACCTGTAATCCCAGCACTCTGGGAGGCCAAGGTGGGTGGATCAAGAGGTCCAGAGATCAAGACCATCTTGGCTAACATGGTGAAACCCCATCTCTACTACAAATACAAAAAAAAACATTAGCCAGACATGGTGGTATGCGCTTGTAGTCCCAGCTACCCAGGAGGGTGAGGCAGGAGAATCGCCTGAACCCAGGAGGTGGAGGTTGCAGTGAGCCGAGATTATGCCACTGTACTCTAGCCTGGGCCACAGAGCGAGACTACATCTTGAAAAAAAAAAAGTCTCTGTGTGGACTGTTTTCTTGCTGCCAGTCTTAATCCTGCTTGCTAAAATTTGAGCTCCCTTCTTCTGCATGTTCTCCTTGAGAACAGAACCATCGTCCCTGAGCTCTGAGTGAAATGGCACCAGCTCAAGGCCACTGCTTGGCCGCTCGTCAGCCTTTTCTTGTTAGTTTGTTATCTCTGGAAACTCTTGTACATTTTAGTTGTTTCAGTTTCTGTTCATGAATAGTCTTCCTTTCCTTTCTCAGCTGATGTCTAGATTGGGACTCTCTCTGCAAAGTCATGCCCTTTCTTTCCCAATCAGAGTAAAACAACTGAAGCAACTGCCATTTTCAGTTTTTGTTTCATTTGCCTTTTCCTTTAGCTGTTGATCTCATTAGCAAGGCAGCCCATGACCCTGACTTGCCACAGTTCCAAAACACAAATTCTTCCAGATGGGATGTGCCGGTGTCTGGCAGGTGTCCTGCCTTCCCTTGCTACCTCCTCATTTGTGCCCGTCCACCTTCTCAGAGCCTACGTCTTCCCAGATGCTTAACGCTGTTCAGCCTCTAGTTCAGAGCTACAAATTTACATGCTTGATTGTGTGGGGCAGAAAGTTCAAGGTAATTTCTTTCTCTACAAATTCCCAGTATCTTAGTCACACTCGGAGATTGTCCCTGCGCACTGACTCCTCTAGCTAGTGATTGGTCAACCAGAAATGGTTAGTGTCTGTTTTCCTTCTGTCTCCTGGCCTGTCTCCTCCCACATCAGCATGGCCACGTGAATGGAATTGAGTGACATCCTGAGTCCCTATATTAGGAAGGGGGAAGTTCCTTTGATGTGTTCCAAATTCATTATCCATTAAGTCTTGGGCCTGCAGACCATGGCAGGCTCCCTTCCTTCATTTATGATGCTTCATCCAGCTCTAAATTTTCTCCACTCTTGTCCTTATAAACTTTTCACATGCCCTAGAAATTCCAACACGCCCACATCTAAGCTACAGCTGCTCTTTGTATCTGGAAAGCGACATTCAAACTTCTCATTTCCGGTTCCAAAAATCCATGCACTACATGGATAGTCTGCCGTGGGGGACATTCCTCGGCCCTCACGATGTGGTTTCCCGCAGAGAAGCCAGGAGAACGAGGAGGACGGTGAGGAGGACCCTGACCGCTACGTCTGTAGTGGAGTTCCTGGGCGGCCATCAGGCCTGGAGGAAGAGCTGACTCTCAAGTATGGGGCGAAGCACGTGATCATGCTCTTTGTGCCTGTCACTCTGTGCATGATCGTGGTGGTAGCCACCATCAAGTCTGTGCGTTTCTACACGGAGAAGAATGGACAGCTGTGAGTTAGGGGCCGGGGGGGCACAGGACGGGGTGAGGGCTGAGTTGTTGGGAGGCAGCAGCCTGTGTTGGTCACTGCACCTGTAGCTCCACACCGGCAGTGGTAAAGAGCAGGGAGGGAGAGCTGCCTGGGTTCACGGCCTGACTCACTGCCTCCTGGATTGTGACCTACTTGGGCATGCTGTTAATGTCACTATGCCTGTGTAATGGGTTAATAACGGGGTTACTGGGAGAATTAAGTGAGTTAATACAAGTGAAGGGCTTAGAAGAGTGTGTGCTGCAGGTGAGTGCTCAGGCAGGCTGAATCCTGCTGCAAAGCACTGGGCTCCGTGTTCCTAGTCCCAGACCCTGGGCATGGCCGTGCCACTGTCCTGTGTGACCGCAAACAAATCACTTCCTCTCTGGGTCTCTGCTCCCCTGAATATGAAACAAGGTGGTTCGACCAGATGATTTCTCAGCTCACTTCCTGCCTTGTGAGGAAGACTTGTAAAGCCTTTGGTTTATTTTAGTAAAATACATGCATAGGCAGCAGCACAGACAAATGAGAAGCTTCCCCACGTCTTCCCCTCCCCTCCCTGTGGTCATCACTGCTAAGCACCTTCTCTAAACTTTTTTTTTAAGTTAGGGACTTTTTGTTTCATTTTTTGTGTGTTGGTTTGGTTTTTTGTTTCTTTTAAAGAAAGGAATAAGGCCAGGTGTGGTGTCTCATGCCTGTAATCCCAGCACTTTGAGAGGCTGAGGCAAGAGGATCACTTGAGCCCAGGAGTTTGAGACCAGCCTGGGAAATGTGGCGAGACCTTATCTCTACAGAAAATACAAAAATTAGCCAGGTGTGGTGGTACGCACCTGTAGTCTCAGCTACTTGGGAGGCTGAGGTGGGAGGAACACCTGAGCCCAGAAGTTGAGGCTGCAGTGAGCCATGATTGCATCACTGCACTCCAGCCTCAGCAACAGAGACCCTGTCTCAATTTTTTTTTTTTAAATTAAAAAAGACGTAGAGAAGGAGGGCCCCATCTTCAGGAAGCTTATAGTCTATGGGGGATTCAGCGCAGCACAGGTGAAAGCATGGAGAGAATGCAGCCAGCAGTTTGTTTGCCACAGTCCAGGCTGGGGAGAGTGAGGTTTGAGTGAATTGCTTCCTTGCTCTGCTTCCTGGGCTTATAAGCTGCAAGGGCAGCCGGTGGCTCCTGTTGGTGGGGGGTGGGGTAGCAGCAGGTGGAGGAGTGCTAGGCTGGATGGGGGCTGGTGGAGAGGTGTGAGGTGGGGAATGAGAAGTGAGATGGGCGAGACAAGTGCCTAGGGAGCCTTTAATCCATCCGTGTAGAGGTGGGGAGGGCAGTGGTGAGGTCATCTAGCCCCCGTCCCCACTGCTGCACTGGGCCCAGTCAGCAGGCTGAGAGCCACAGGTCTGTGGTCAGGATGCCAGGGAATGAGCTGGAGGACAGAAACTGCTCAGGGGTGGTGCCTGTGCTCTGTCAGGGCAGCACATGGGTGGCATGGGCATCCCAGGCACCTCCCCTAGCAGGCCCAGAATCGCTCAAGGTGGGGAGCCTCGCGGAGCAGGCAGGGCTGGGAGCATCAGCCCCTTGCCTTCTCCCTCAGCATCTACACGCCGTTCACTGAGGACACGCCCTCGGTGGGCCAGCGCCTCCTCAACTCCGTGCTCAACACCCTCATCATGATTAGTGTCATCGTGGTCATGACCATCTTCTTGGTGGTGCTCTACAAGTACCGCTGTTACAAGGTGAGGCCCTGGCCCTGCCCTCCACCCACCCTTCTCCCTCCCCATCTACCCCACACCACGGCGGTGAGGCCCATGAAACAGCCATCTTTAAAAAACACAGACCAGAGCAAAATAGACCCTGATTTTTTGTACTCCGTCCCACCCCATCCTGTCTCCCACCATGGATGACCTAATACTGTTGTCTTTTATTTTTATTTATTTTCTTTTCTAAAAAACATGGTCTCTCTCTGTTGCCCGGCTGGGGTGCAGTGGGACGATGATGGCTCACTGCAGCCTCAACCTCTTGGACTCAAGAAGTTCTCCTGCCTAGCCTCTCAAGTAGCTAGGACTGCAGGTGTGCACCACCACACCTGGCTAATTTTTAAATTTTGTTTGTAGAGGCTAGATCTCACAGTATTGCCTAGGATGGTCTCAAACTCCTGGACTCAAGCCATCTTCCCACCTCGGCCTCCCAGAGTTCTGAGATTACACATGTGAGCCATCGCACCCAGCCTGTTGTCATTTAAATTTAGACACGATCCCACTGAGTTCCTCACTGCAGTGTTACAGGCATCATTTCTCATAGTCAGAAGTTAATTTTGTTTTGCTTCTCTTTCTGAAGTTCTATTTTAGGCTCCCCTCACCCTGATACTTCCCCTGAAGATTTATTTTTATTTTCCCTTTTCCTTTTCGGGCAAGGATGTGCAGATGCCATGCTGAGGTCTTCCAGCCCTGGGAGACATGTGGGTTGTACCTGCCTATATAGCTGCCGAGTAGCTCCAGGGAGTAGTAGAAGGACAGATCCCATCTGGCAAGAATCATGGCCGCTGCTTGTCCGCAAAGATGCATAAGCTTTTAGACAGCATCTTCAGGCTTTTCCCCCAGGGAAGGAGTTGAACCCCTAAAGATGGAAAGGAAGTTAAGCTGGGCGTTACCTATCTTAAAACTGTTGACACACAGGTGCCTCACAACATTTTTGTTCAGGCAGCTGCCATCTGTGGAGCAATTAGATAGAGGTGCAGAGTGCCCAGGCTAGAGGGATGGGTCAGGGACAGTGCAGGGAGGGAGCTGAGCCCCATTCCAGCTGGGGTGGCAGTCGGGGAGAGTCATGGGAGGGCCTGTAGGGTGTGTCCTGAGCTGAAGCTTATCATTAAGTAACAAGTACCAGCTTGGCATTTTGGGCATGACCACGCCTGTGGTCCCAACTACTTAGGAGACTGAGACTCTGTCTCTTAAAAAATAATAAAATAAGTAACAATCACCTGTGTAACTGTGATGAGGCAGGGTTTGAACATTACCGCTGGGAGGTTGGCAGATGGGGAAGTAGGTTGGAGGGCTGCTGGTTTGGAGCAGAGGATACAGCTTGCATGGGGTCCAGCTAGATATTTCACAGCGGATGTGAAGAGCTGGCACCACTGCAAGCAGTAGGTGTCTGGTGGCCAGTCCCAGAAGCTGTGAAGAGGGGCTCCAGTAGGGCTTCCCTGGAGTTTCTGCAACACAGGCAGATGATGGTGGCCTGGGAAGCCAGGTGGTAGCTGGGATGAAGTGGATTGGCACATCCCAGAGGCAGCCCTTTCCCCTTTTGGCTGTGTGTGCGGCATGGCCATGGTGGCCGCTTTCACTCCAGGTAGACCAGGGCCCTGCTGAGGTCCCAGTGGGCTGAGCTGGTGTCTGATGAGTTGATCCTCAGGGGTGAGGCTGGTGGGAAGTGATGTCACTGTCCCACCAATGGCGAGCTAAGGGACTGGGTTAGGATCAGTCCCCTCTTGTCCTTCACCCTCCCGTGCTTGGCCAGGAGAAGAGGAACAGGTCTTTCTGAGGACCTGTCTGTAGACCCTTGGGTGGGAAGGGACTTCCCAGTTTCTCTGTTGAGGCCACCCTGTTGAATCTCCCATCACTGTATCCTGCTGGCGTGTTTTTCTCCATGGCCCTCATCATTACCTGCTGAAATACTGTAGATTTGTCTGTATGTCATCTAGCTCCCCTCACACTGAAACACAACGCTTGTGGGCAGAGACTTTCCTAGCCTTGGCTCCAGAGCATAGAACAGTGCCTGGCAAGTAGGAGATACCCAGCATAACCTTTCTAAATGGACAAGTAGAGAGGTGGGGAGACCGCAAGGCTTTGCCAGCAGACCTGAGGGAGTCTTGTCTGCATGCACTGCAGGGTGACCTCAGGGGAACTCCTTGGATTTCTGTGCGCTCTTTATCTGTAAGGTGGCCGCCTGATCCCTTCCAGCGTAGGCATGAAGTAGCCTAATAGAGAACATCATTCAGGCTTGGGTATCGGTCCCAGCATCCTGGGGGCCTTAGGATTTGTGGCACTTGGGGACATCTTGTGATTGTCCCATTTTTGTTGTCTAGTTCATCCATGGCTGGTTGATCATGTCTTCCCTGATGCTGCTGTTCCTCTTCACCTATATCTACCTTGGGTAAGTGTCAGATGAGCAGCAGGGTCCCTGGGAGCCCCTCTCCCTGTGGCACCAGTGGACATGGGCAAGAGGACCTGGGCAGGAAAAGGTGACCGTTGAGCTCCAGTGCTCCCCAGTGCCAGCCATTCCAGGAACACAGGCCTCTAGGGCCCTTTCTTGGCACAGGGGAGTGGGAGTGAGGCCGCATGGTGGACCACACATTTCTGTCTAGTTCCTGATTTAAAATGGAGCCTTGTAGAGAAAATTTACATTCTAACGTTTAGGCTAGGCCTGGGTGCTTCCTGGTTTATGGGAAAAGGTATCTGTTCTATTGCCCCTTGACTTGGGATATCAGCCTGACCCAGGGACCGAAAGAGACTGGAGGGACAAGAGAAAACACTTTCTCAAGGACCTTTCCATGCGCACAGGGTCTTCCAGGTCATGCCCATGCACATTTCTGTGACCCGTTCCGAGCATCCCCACCTTGTTCTAGAAAATGTCACAAATGGTAATTTGTAAGGACAGTGACAATTGGGGAAGGAAATGTTAGTAAAGAGGGCCAGGTTGGGACTGGATGGTGGTAAACTGCTAGGCTGTAATGTCTCCACTGAGTCCCACCCACAGGCTCCACCTTGGTCTTGCAGGGAAGTGCTTAAGACCTACAACGTTGCCATGGACTACCCCACCCTCTTGCTGACAGTCTGGAACTTTGGGGCGGTGGGCATGGTGTGCATCCACTGGAAGGGGCCGCTGGTGTTGCAGCAGGCCTACCTCATCATGATCAGCGCACTCATGGCCTTGGTGTTCATCAAGTACCTCCCAGAGTGGTCCGCGTGGGTCATCTTGGGCGCCATCTCTGTGTATGGTAGGTGGACAGCAAGCCTGGCAGGGGCAGTGGGGCTGGCGTCCAGGGCCAGGTCATCCTCAGCACTGCACAAGGAGGACAAGGTGCTGATGGGCTTGCGTCCCTTCCTGCAGAGGCCTGGGTGGTCTCCCTCCTGAGGGAGTCACCTTTGTAAAACATAGCAGGATCCACTATTTCAGGAACACTCCCGGTAGTCACTGACCTCATCATTTTCTTTTTTTCTCACAGTGTGAGATGGAGTCTCACACTGTCGCCCAGGCTGAAGTGCAGTGGCGTGATCTCAGCTGACTGCATCCTCCGCCTCCGGGGTTCGAGTGATTGTCCTGCCTCAACCTCCCGAGTAGCTGGGACTGTAGGCATGTACCACCGCGCCCGGCTAATTTTTGTATTTTTAGTAGAGATGGGGTTTCACCATGTTGGCCAGGCTGGTCTCAAACTCCTGACCTCGTGATATGCCCGCCTTGGCCTCCCAAAGTGCTGGAATGACAGGCGTGAGCCACTGCGTCCAGCCCTCGTTTTCCATTATTACTGACGTGCTGATTGAGCATGTGCACCGCTAAGCACTGGACGTGCTGTAGGTGCCGTGTTCCTCAAGACAGTTGTAAGTCCTTTGGGCACAGTGCCTATACATAAGCCCAAATGTTGGCTGCTATTTGATATTAGCATGATTGTCATTGCTGGTATTGTTACTTCCATTTTAAGGTTAAGGAATTTGAGACTCGGAGAAGTGGGACTCCTCAGCCCGGCCACCATGTCTTGGGTGCACAGCTCCTCCGCGCCTGCAGTTGGCTGTGAGGTCCCGCTCTGACTCCACCAGTGTCTGCCCTAAGTTGTGACTGGAGAGTGAGAGTTTGGCATGGCAGCCCAGCAGCAAGGCATGCTCTGAGAGCTGCACCCAGGGCTGCTGTGCTACAGGGCTGGCTGTTTGGGGGCGGCTGCTTGGGGATAACTTGACAAGGATGTCTCTGTGTTCCTAGATCTTGTGGCTGTGCTGTGTCCCAAAGGGCCTCTGAGAATGCTGGTAGAAACTGCCCAGGAGAGAAACGAGCCCATATTCCCTGCCCTGATATACTCATGTGAGTGGGCCCCCTGTGCCTCTGCCTGACCCAAGGTCAGCAGGCAGCCTATGGGGGGACAAGGGGCTGCTTCCTGGCCGTGGCTTTCAGAGTTGACTATGTAACACCCTTTCCCTGAGCAAAGAGGAGTTGGCCTTGGTGATCCCAGAAGGGTCTCCACTTTCAGAAACCAGGGAAGGCAGTATCTTGCTATTATACAGTAAGAAGCTTAGAGTTAGGACAGAAAGCGGGCATCTGCTGGGATGCGGCGCAGCCCCCGGCTTCATCACATCCGCCCTCCAGCGGCATGCTGTGGTGCAGGTCACGTTCCTGTGAGCCCACAGCCACCCTTCAACTCTCCAGGCTCTTGAGAAGGGACTTTGGATTGGGATTCTTCAGGGCAGAGGGTCAGGGAGCAAGGAGCTCCTGGGCTTCCTTGACAGCAGTGTGCTTGATTGGCATTAATTAATCCTAACTGAAGGGAAGGCACATGGGATGGCCCCTGGCCTCGGGATCAGTGTGTAGAGATTTGGATTTACACATGCACTCAGCAGAGGCACATCAAGTCCCCACTTTGTGGCAGGCACTGTGCTAGGCATTCGGGACCCAGCAGGAAAGACCGCAGGATCCCAGGCCTCATGGAGCTCTCAGGCCTGTGGTCATGATGCCCTTGGTCTGTTGATGGCGGGGCTTAAGTAGAGAGCTTGAATTTCTGGGGCTCTGGTGTCTGCAGGGTGGCCTGGGAAACATTTTATGGACCAGCTACAGAGTGCTAGATATCTCCATGCAGTTGAGGAATCCAGCCTGTAGAGGAGAATCGCCCGCAGCATGGCCCCATGGGAAAGCACATTCCAGGCACATTCCGAGGATGAGCAGAGATCATGTATGGAAAGGCAATGCCAGGACAGTCGTGAGTGTCCCAAGGCTCTGGGGATTCACCCGTCAACAGTGAGGTCCTGGCTCTGATAGACCTGGTTCTTCTCACACTGCAGGAGGGGAGACAGACAGTGACAGACAAATGCAGGAGTCAAGAGGAAGTGACTCTGACGCCTCCCACAACGGCCTCCTAACAGTGGAGCATGAGCAGATAGCTGCAGGATGGTGGGATGGAGGGTCCTGTGCAGGCTTTCTGGGGCGCAGACTGGCCACCTCCCCCAGGCCCTGCAGGCAGCCACTGTTAGCACTGCCTGAGGCACGAACCTTTTCTCCTCCTCCAGCCGCCATGGTGTGGACAGTGGGCATGGCGAAGCTGGACCCCTCTTCTCAGGGCGCCCTCCAGCTCCCCTACGACCCAGAGATGGGTGAGTATTTGGGGGACTGACAGCCTCTCGTCACCGGGGCGGGGCAGCTGCCTACCTGCACCCAGCTCTGCCCAGCCTGGCCTCTCTGGGAGGCAGAGGGAAGGGTCATTTGAAAACCCGCTCTCCCTGACACACGAAGCTTGGAGATTCAGCAACTGTTGGACCCTGGGTCCTCTGCCAGCCTCTGTTGCCTCCTTCTGGGCATGGCTGGATGGGGGACCCCTTCCTGGAGCTTTGTTCCCAGGGAATGCTCTCTGACCAGCTCTTGCCTCTCTCCCTTGTTGTCCCGTCCTCATGGCGATCATGTCATCTTTTCCTGGACACCCAGAAGAAGACTCCTATGACAGTTTTGGCGAGCCTTCATACCCTGAAGTCTTTGAGCCTCCCCTGACTGGATACCCAGGGGAGGAGCTGGAGGAAGAGGAGGAAAGTAAGGTGCCCGTGTTCACACGACCTGCTTCAGCCCAGGGTGGGGTTGGAGGAGGGCATTGCAGGGGGCCCTTTTCCCATCAGAGGCATCTCTGTGAAAGTAGGAGATGCCTGCAGCGCTGGGGTCTTCCATGTAGTTGTCTGGTGTGTACTGAGTATGGACCATGTGTCTGCACTGTGCTGAGTGAGGCCCGGCCCTGGTGGGACCTGCAGGCTAAGGAGTCATGGGCACCAATCACACAGACTCCAGAAGCCAAGGACTGCGAAGGGGGCCATGGAGGGCAAGAGAGTATGCCACGGAGCTTCTTGACCTGGTTGACAGGGGTCGGAGAAAGTCATCTGAGGAGGTAACTGCTGAGCTGAGCTCTGAAGGTTGAGTCACAGCAGTCACTAGAAGAGAGGAGCATGGGGTGGGGAGCATTTCTGGACAGGCAGTCTCGGTAGTCAGAGGACACCGGGGCGGGATACAGAGAGCAGACGTGGGAGAGCCTTGCAGACAGGCCAGGAGACATGCTGAGATAGGGGTTCATCTTGGCGTCAATACACGATGCCCACCCAGTACCCAATGCCAGCCCACCACAGTGTGCCAGGCAGCACCCTGGAGCAGGGAGACAACAGCTCCTGCAGTGTAGTAACAGCCCCTGGCCTGAGAGGTGCCTTACAGGAGTAGCCCGGTGGCAGTGGCCTGGCATACAGGACTTCAGTGACGCAGGAGGGGCTAGCTGGAGAATGATCGTCCTGCTGTAGGTCTGGAAAGAGGAGCAAGGTGCGCACCCTGCAGGCAAGCTTGGGGGAGGTGTTTATTCCAAGGCCAACAGGTGTGCCGCAGACCAGGAGTTAGCACAGACCCCATGGGACCCACAGGACTGGCTTCCCTCTAGACACCAGCCACAAGCTCTAGGGGTATTAGAGGCCACTTGTACTTCTGACTGGCTGCAAATTTACGGCTCCCATGACACCCGCTGGGTCAATAACTTGCTGGAATGTCTCACTCAGGAAAGTACTACACTTAAAATCGCAGTTTTTTTTGTTGTTGTTGTTTTGTTTTGGAGACAGGGTCTCGCTCTGTCGCCCAGGCTGGAATGCAGTGGTGTGATCGTGGCTCACTGCAACCGTGACTTGCTGGGGTCAAGTGATCCTCCCGCCTTGGCCTCCTGAGTAGCTGGGATTACAGGCACATGCTACCATACCTAATTCATTTTTATATTTTTAGTAGAGATAAGGTTTTGACTTGTCGCCCAGGCTGGTCTTGAACTCTTGGGCTCAAGCGATCCACCTGCCTTGGCCTCCCAAAGTACTGGGATTATAGGTCTGAGCCACAGCACCTGGCGAAAATTAGTTTTATTATAATAGATGCAACTCAGGACCAAATGGAGAGACACAGAGCAAGTGAGAGGGCCCCACACCTGTTTCCTGTGTCCTCTCCTGGGAACAGGGCATGTCACCCCTGCTGTTGTCCAGGGGAGAGAGAAACAAGGCAACACTGTGGCTGAGAGGGGGATGGCTGTCAGGACTAGGCCAAGGGTGGTGTGTAGGGGTCCACGGGGAAGGTGGCGTGGCTTATCAAGACTCAGGAGAGCATCTGTGTGGGAGAGGGGTAGGGGTTGCAGGACATCCGGAGGGACATGTCAGCAGGCACTGGAGCCAGGGAAGAGCTCAGGGTTTGACACTGGGAGTTGGAGCCATTAGCACGAATATATTGTCAAAATCAGGCCCGAGAATAGTAGCCAGGGACGGTGCAGGGTCAGGGTCAGTGACATTTACAGAGGAAGGGAAGGTGTGGTGGAGGACCCTGAGGAGTAGTCAGAGGCGGATGGGTGCTATGGGTGGCATGAGGACTTCAGGTGTCCCCTGGGGGCCAGAGAGCATTGGTCAGGACATGGGACCTGGTGCCTCTAAGTTCCCAAGGTGACCAGGAGGTGAGTGCAGGGTTCTTTTCAGAGTCCTGATGGAAGAAGGAGGAGTGATAAGGGAGAGGAGCCAGCACACAACAGCAGGAGCAAGGGCCCAGTACAGGAAGAGCCGTCTGTCTGGGACGGGCAAGACTGGATCCTTTTTGTTAGGCTCTGAGAAGGAGCCAGCTAAAGGGGAGGAGTTGAGATCAGAGAGGAAGCGATGCTGATGGATGAAACTTGTTGGGGGAAGGATGGACACTGGGGCAGGGCAGAGGCAGGCGACTGCCAGGAGTGGGAGGGACACCTTTGGGGTTGGAGGGGTAGGGGAGGTGGGCCTCCATGGTTTGTGTTTATTGCATAACCATTTTTATTATCTACAGTGAGCAAAGTTATCCTACAAACCAGTGTCAGGGACCATTGTACTAAAGAAAACAAACTTGAGAGCATTTTGGAAGCTCTAATTTCCTGATCAGTCATGGGTAGGCTATTCCCAGTTATGTTTACCTATTGCAAGGGGAGAGGGTCTTCAGAGGACCTCTGTCTTGGTGTTATATGTACTTTTGAATTTACTGAAATTAAATTCCCTAAAAATCTGTAATTCAGACTTCATGCTAAATTGTACAGCAGTGCCGAGCCCCAAGCCATGCATTCCTATTTGTTCTTTCCGTTACTCACTATGTGCCCAGCACCAGTTTTACCTGAGTTTCAGAACTGCCCGATTTTCTGTGCACAGGTCGTAAGTCACCCAGTCCACAGGCGTCCCCTGCTTTCCCACTGGCTGCGGATTTGGGGAGGCAGCCGTCCTTGTCCCCAGCCGACGCGGCTGCCTCTAGAGGCTGGGTGGGCTGGGCTGGGCAGAGCATCTGCGAGCGCCTCCTCAGCATGGGTCCACTGTCTCTCCTCGTGCAGGGGGCGTGAAGCTTGGCCTTGGGGACTTCATCTTCTACAGCGTGCTGGTGGGCAAGGCGGCAGCCACGGGCAGCGGAGACTGGAACACCACGCTGGCCTGCTTCGTGGCCATCCTCATTGTGAGTGGCTGGGGATGCGCCCAACTGCCCCCTAGTGGCGGGACCCCGGGGGTCCCCATTGTGGGGGGGGTGGGAATTTTTATTTCTTCTTTTCCCTCTGAGGGACAAGAGCAGGGAGGGGCTGGAAGGGTCGGCTTGAGACTGAGGCTCACAGGAGGTGTGCTTGCCCTAGGTGGGCTCCATCCTGCAGGTCACAGTGCAGGGGAGGGTGAGGAGAGCGCTGGCCCTGGCGTGGTCGAGCACACAGCCTCCAAGCCAAAGACCCAGCTGACAGCTTTGTGCAGTGTTGATACCGTTGAGGTGGTTGTGATGACATCAGGTTTACAGAAAAGTGCTTAAGGGCCTTACCCGTGGGCACAAAGCTCGTGAGGACCATGTTTTCCCCTCCTCCCTGCCACCGAGACACCACAGGGTGCCCCATTACTGTGAACCATAGCAGTGAAATGTGGAGTTCGCTGTAGTCAGTTAATGTGGCCAGATACACATGATGGGGAGATGTCCTGCCACAACTTCATCTCAGAGATTTCCCTGTCACATTAGAGGTGGATTGTCTGAGCTGTACACTTGGCATTCTGCCCCTTGGTGAAAACCCTGGGCATGGCATGGTGAAGGGTGATGCTTCGGTGTCCAGATTTTGTTTCTGCCCATAAGTCTATCAGGGATGGGATGATGGACCCAGCCTCCTCCACCACCAGTCTGCCTGACCTGAGCCCTGCTGCCCCCAAGGGTAGAGCAGGCACCCTTGGTTCCCTGTCCTTACCTGGACCACTGCTCGCGTCAGCCAGGTCAGGGGAGGATGGGCATCCCCACGCCTGCTTCCCAGGGGCAGGCTGCATGGCATCTCTGATTCCCTTGGTGTCAGCTGCTGAGAACCTCACTGGCATTTCAGTTGAACCTACATAGCTGTCATACAAATACACGTTCTCTGAGGGCATCTTGCCATCCCGTGTGACAACTCCAGCCAGACAGGGGAGGCAGCATGGCCTGGAGGCATAGCACTGCTCCGGAAGTCAGGAGGCCTGCCTTCTGGTTCAGTCGCTCACACGTGGGAGTTCTGATGGGGATGAGAACTTCTGCTCTCAACACCTCAAGAGCTGTTGCAGGACCAGGGAAGATAATGGGGTGGGGTGTCTAGCGCCGTTGTCCGACTGGTCCACGAACAATCTCCTGCACCCAGGGACTAGACCATGACTCCCAACTCCCGTCCACACCGGGATCACCACCCTCACTCTCCCCTCCATGTCCCACAGGGCTTGTGTCTGACCCTCCTGCTGCTTGCTGTGTTCAAGAAGGCGCTGCCCGCGCTCCCCATCTCCATCACGTTCGGGCTCATCTTTTACTTCTCCACGGACAATGTGGTACGGCCGTTCATGGACACGCTGGCCTCCCATCAGCTGTACATCTGAGGGACGCGGTGCGCCACAGGCCGCAAGCTGCAGGGAATTTTCACTGGATGCAGTTGTATAGTTTTACACTCTAGTGCCATATATTTTTAAGACTTTTCTTTCCTTAAAAAAATTTAAAAACGTATGTGTTTACTTGGTGAGGACGAAGCAGAACCAGCTCTGTGGTACCAGCTGTTTCATCACCAGACTTTGGTTCCCCCTCTGGTTCCGCCTCACTTCACGGACAGGAGGCACAGCAGGTTTACCCAGATGAACTGAGAAGGTCAGGTCAGGGCGGGGAGAGGAGCATCCAGCACGCCCCCGAGGGCCAAGATGCATGAAGATGTGCCTCTGTTCAGGATCAGGACCACGTGCTTGGGAGTGGCCCCTGGCACCTGGATGCTCTGGCAGGCAAAGAAAAGCCAGTTCCTTACGAGGAGTGTTCTCAGTGCTTTGTCCGTGATGTCCTTGTTATTTTACTACTTTTAGAAGCTGAGTCCTGTTCTTGTTACGGCAGTCACATTGCTGGGAAGTGGCTTAATAGTAATACCAATAAATAGATGAGTCCTGTTGGAATGTTGGAGCTTGGTCCGTTGTGAATGTTGACCCCTCTCCCTGCATCTCAGGCACCCCTGGGATAACCTATGCTAGAAGAGGGAGGCAGTTTGCACCATTTGAAGGAGAGAGGCTTTTAATGATCTCACCTGTCTGCACACATTTCTTTAACTAGAAAGTTTCCTAGGCAGAGGCGTTAGGAGAGCGGGGAGGCCTGCCGTCTGCCGGCCCTGGGCTGTAAGGCTGCAGGGGCCGAGCAGGGCCCTGGACTCAGTGGTGCACAACGGCACAAACACTGCCAGGTGGTTGCCAAAATGTCCAGTGGTTCTTTCTGCAGGTGTTCACCCTCTGCAGAAGCCTGTGAGGGCCCAAGCTCAGAAACGCACTCTCCTTTCCTTCTCTGGCTGTGGCCCTGGGCACTGTGGTGGGAGAGGGGATGGGCTGGCTTTGTCTTCTCCATACATCAATCATGAATTGCAAAGAGAATCTCAGAAGTGCCTCTTCCTGTACACAGTGGCTCACACCTGTAATCCCAATACTTTGGGAGGTTGAGGTGGAAGGATCACTTGAGCCCATGAGTTTGAGACCAGCCTGGGCAGCGCAGTGAGACTTAGTCTGTAGAAAACAATTTTAAACATTAGCCAAGAATGGTGGCATGCGCCTGTAGTCCCAGCTACTCTGGAGCCTGAGGCGGAAGGATCACCTGAGCCTGGGAGGCTGAAGCTGCAGTGAGCCGAGATCAGGCAGGTGTTAGGTATAACGGACAGCTGAGATGATGCAAGTATCCCCTGGAGTTCAAACTGGTAGCCCCATCTCCCTGTTCCAGGAATAACATGAGTGTCATGACAATGCATCTTTTTCAAGAGGAATGAGAATTGTGTATCTTGAAGTTTGACAGGAGCTTGCTTTCTCCTCCGGCTATTTGAGAAAGGGCAGAGGAAAACACGGTGCACTAAGAAGGAGGACGGAGGAGGCCGAACACTGACAGGTAGAATCCCACTGATTAGTAGTGCAGGTCAGAGACCCTGGAGTGGGGACGTTGCAGTCATGGAAGCCACGGCAGGGAGCAGGTAAAGCAGACAGGGATGGTACCTGACAGAGACCACTCCCAAGAGGTTAAGGGGAAAGAAAAACAGAAAAACCCAATCAATTTGGCAATTATGGCAATGTTTATCTTCAGAAGAACAGTTTTAGGGTGGGGTTTCCAAAGATGGGATTGGATGTATGTTTTGAATCATTAAGCTTGATGAGCTCTTTCAAAGGCCTGGCCAGGGGGTGCTGGGTGGAGACCACATTAGAGGTAAAGGCAGAAGTGGGGGGCCCTTAAGTAGACAGAGAGGATGAAATGAAGGGTCCCAGTGATTGTTAGGGTGAAGTGTGAAGACTGAGAAAACAAGGACATGTGAGAAGACAAGGGAAGAGCATGGAGAGAACAAAGACATTGAGGAGATGCCACCTGGAGGTCACCAGAGAATTGGGAGACGAGGGAGCCCAGAACCTAAGTGCAAAGAAGAAAAATGAGAAGATTTTTTTTAAAAAAGCATTCAAACATGCCGAACAAGAGCAGAGTACTGGTGTTTAAACACCTGTATCTCCCTCATGTCACCAGCCAACTAATATCTTTTCATCTTTGTGGCAGATTTGTCTTTAGAAATAAAACCCACATTCCGAAGTCCCGTTCGTTTGCGGCCCCAGTCCTGTTGCCTCTGCCCCGTCCTGATGTCCATTTCTGTCCTTCCTATCCATGGTTGGGTTTGTTTTCTATGTTGGTATGTTTTCTTTACAGAAATTGCATCATACTGTACACATTTGATACTTTTTAAAAATATTGCATTCTGGAGGCATGTATAAATGTAGCTCCACTTCAGTTATTTATTTAATTTATTTTTTGAGATTGGAGTCTCGCTCTGTCGCCCAGGCTGGAGTGCAATGGTGTGATCTCAGCTCACCGCAACCTCCGCCTCCCGGGTTAAAGCGATTCTCCTGCCTCAGCCTCCTGAATAGCTGGAATTACAGGCACCCACCACCACGCCTGGCTAATTTTTGTATTTTTAGTAGAGAGAGGGTTTCACCATGTTTGCCAGGCTGGTCTCAAACTCCTGATCTCAGGTGATCCACCTGCCTTGGCCTCCCAAAATGCTGGGATTACAAAAGTGAGCCACCGCGCCCAGCCCAGTTCAGTTAACTGTTGTATGGTGTTCCATTGTATGAGTTCTACTGTTTATATGCTATTGATGGACATGTAGGGGTTTTGCAGTGTTTTCATATTATAGCTGTGCTGCAGTGAGCATCCTATCACATTGTGTGGATTTGAGGAAGTATTGAAATTCCCCTAATTGACTGGACATTCCCATTTACCCTCTAAGCAGGTGTCTGTTTATCCTCCTATCAGCAATCTGAGAGTTCCCCAACTCTACAATACTTGGATCATCAGACTTTTCATCTTGTCTGATTGGATGGGTGTCATTTCCTTTAGGTTTTATGAGTATCTTTTCATATGTATATTGGCTGTACAAGGTTCTTTCTCTGTTACTTGTTCCTATCCTCTGCCCATTTTTCACTTGGATTTTTTTTGTCTTTTTTTATGGATATTTAGGCCTCTTAAATATGTATTCTGGAGGGATGCTAATCTTTGATCAATTATATGCATTGCAAATATCTGGTACACTGTGGCTTGCTTGTCTTCCCTGCCTTTAGGAGTGTTTTGCTGGACCGAAGTAATTTTTAACTGTTAATGTTAAATGTGTCAGTCTTTTGCCTGTATGACTTATGCCTTTGAATCTTGTTTAAGAGATCCTTCCCTACCCCCAAGATTTTCTAAATGTTTATATTCGTAATAAGATTTTTAGTCATCTGAAATGTATGTTTACAATTGTATTTAGTAGAGACCTAATTTTGTTTTTCTGTGTTTGTAACCAGTTGTCCCAGCACTGCTGACTGAACAGTCTCTCCTTTCTCACTGGTCTGTAGAACTCTTCTGACATATACCAAGTTTCTGTAAGCGGGTGGATGCGTTCCTGAGCTATCTACTATTAATAGAACTTGCTCTCTCCAGGCCAATGCTTCACCAGGTGATAGAAGCAGAGAAACTTAGGTGGTGAAAAGAGAAGATGGGACCTCTCCTGAAGAGTTTCTGTTCCAGAGATTCTAGAGTCAGAGGGTATGTAAACCTGAAGTTACACCAGATCTCTTAAAATAGTATAAAGCTATAGAAGTATAATAGTGTGGAATGGTGGGAGTCAACATACATGTACGCTGGGTGAAAAGGTAGTCCTGGAGTGAAGCCCAGCATAGCTGTAGTTTAACCCAAGTGCTGGGTTAAACTAGCAGCACTTCTTCCCCATACTGCAGTTGGAAGGGAGGATGCAGGGAAGCTTGTCCACGCCCCTCAAGTTGTGCGTTCCTCTTGGTCCCGTCTCCGCCTCCATCGCACACTTCTTTGGCTTCTTGCAGCCGGTGTGACTATGGTCCCTTGAGCTGTGTCTCCTCTGTAAGAACCTCGAGGTGGGGCAGACCCACTTCCCTCATGGCCTATGGGCTCTGGAGTAAATCTGCCAGCACTCAGATCCTGGCTCTGCCAGCTACTTACCGTGTGACCTGGGGAAAAGTCTTACCCTCTGTGAGAATAAGGATTCGGTCACTGCCTGGAACACAAATAGCAGTGGTTTAAACAAGATGGGTTGAGTCCTCTCACAGACACAGGCAGCTTGGGGCGGGTGCGATAGTGCATGGTATCAGGGGCCAGACGCCTCTCTTTTTGTTTTGAGGTCAGTAAGTGACTTTCACCTCATCCCGTAGGCTGGCCGCCAGGCTCTAGCCATCAAGTCACACTCCATCAGCATGAAAGGAGATTAGAAAAGAATGTACTTCTTCTCTTAAAAACACGTCTCAAAGTTGCACACAGCACTTCTGCCTATGTTCACCTGGCCATTAGTCCCATGGCCATACCTGTCTGAGGCTGCAAAACTGGGAAACGTCTTTATTTCCAGTGACCACATATCTACCTAAACAGAATAAGGGCTACATAGTTATGGTGTGTCTTTTTGTTCACCAACATAGATGATGAAGTTACCAAAACAATGAGAACCACAAGCTGATGTCTTCAAAGACTGTGGAAATGGGCCCTGGGAGGCAGCTAGATGACAGCAGCGGGGATTAAGGTAGACCTTCATCCTGGGGTTAAAATGAAGGGAGGGTACCAAATGATGGAGCTGTACCAACTGATTCAGAGGTCAGTGTTTAGGAGACCCTGCGGCCCCCACTGCTGCCACCGTCAGCTCTATACAGAATGCCTGCCAGTGGCGTAGAGTGGCCAAGGATGAGGTGCAGATGCATATGCACCCCCTGCCCCCGCTGCGGACATTTTTTATGCCTGACAGCACAGCCTGTGTGGATTGCAAGCCGATCAAACTATCCACAGTAGAAGCATGCCTGCGGTTTGTGATTCAGTGATGTGTTCCATGCTTATGTGGGTTGAATGGGGAGGCAGGGTCCTGGGGTCACCCACTGAGAAGGAGGGGCCCTGTAATTACCACCTTTCAGCTACTTGGGAAAGGTGATGTGAGGGACAGTGGATTTCTGGACAGCTGTGAACGGTGGTAGAGAGGAAGGGTCTGGTCTGAGTGAATGGCCAGAAGCTGTGGAGAAGCTTTGAGGACCCTGGCCAGGAGCTCCCTGGAGGCAGGTGGGAGATACTTGTCAGTGCATGTGACCAGTTGCCAGTTGAATATAAGCAGAAGTGCTGTGTTGCTGTGTGCAACATTGGACACCTTAGGAAGGATCTTGGGGCAGTGGTTGTGGACTCTAGAGAGTAACAGTGACAGTAGCAAAGCCTTACACAGTGCCAACCTTGTGCTAGGCTCATACAAAAAGAGTTAACCCTCAATTCTGGTAACAATGGGTGGTAACTACTATTCCAATCTCCATTTTATAGATGAGGAAACTGAGGCAAAGAGATCACTGACTTGCCCAGGATCAAGCAGGGAGTAGTTGGTAACTAACCCATGGCATGTGGTTTGTGG